TCCATTGCGTTTACACTGCGTGTCACTTTACGTCGGCACGTGCGCGTGCTTCTTCTCTCATGTTCTCGCCGCCGTCCCTGGGCATGGCCCAGTCGGCGCGCGACGTTGCCTGATCAGCAGGGTCTGTGGTCGCCTTGCGAGGCCCCGGCCTTTGATCAGGACGACCGGACGGTCACCGAGCGGACTCGAGCGAGCCTAGACGCAGGCGGACGTCGCTCTGCGATCCGTACTTCCAGCCAGCTCTCCGGAGCTATCATATGTTCGGGCTAGTTCCGAACATAATTTTGGTCCTTCGAGCCGGATCGGGAGCGGTAGTCTCGGACCTGGGTCGGTTTGTTTAGCTCGGGCTCCGTTATGTCTAAGGAGGAGGACATTCTTGGGCTCATCGAGCTGCAATACGACCGGCAGCACCGCATGGAGCGGCTGCTGGACAATGCACGCAAGTCCGGTCAACTGAAGTCAGTTGGCGGGTTGACGTCTCGTTTGCAGGTTCTCGACACGTACTGGGCTCAGTTCCAGGATGATCATCGCACGATCCGAGCGTCTCGCCTCAAGACCGTGCGAGAGTCAGACTACGTGCAACAGGATGCCTGTGGCACGGTACAGGAAGTCTACATTGCGCAGCGCGCAGAAATCCAAACCCTGCTCGATGGGTTGAAGGTTCAGGAGGCTGAGTCGGCTGCTCACGCAGTTCCCGCGCAGGCGGTAGTGCCCGAGGCTTCGTTGCCTCGCATTCCCATTCCGAAGTTCGAAGGGAAGTTTGACGAATGGCGCAATTTTAAGGATCTCTTCGAGTCCTTAATAGTCGATAACCCGTCGTTAGCATCAGTTCACCGGATGCATTATTTAAAACAGAGCGTGTCGGGAGAGCCTGAACGTCTGCTCCGGCACTACGGCGTCGCTACTGGCTCGTTTGAGCAAGCGTGGGAAGCGCTATGTGCACGGTACGATAACCGTCGTTTGCTTGTGGACCAGCATCTCGACGCTTTCCGGGATATTGGCCCGATGCGTCAGGAGAGCGTCTCCGAGGTTCGGAGGCTGCTGGATCGAGCCAGCGAGCTGCGAGCCGCCTTGCGCCTTCTTGACCAGCCAGTGGATGCTTGGGACGTGATATTGGTCAATATCCTCCGTTCCAAGCTAGACTCTGCAACGCGGCGGGCCTGGGAGATGGCCACCGCGGACCGGCGCGAGCCAGTGAGCTGGGACAGACTGGCAGTCTTCCTGGACGAGCGTCGGGTGGCGCTCGAGGCGGTTGCCGCGGCTCCGTCCATTGGGGACAGCCCCCGTGCCTCATCGGCATCCGAGCGGACTGGTCGACGATCGCTGCATCTCCATCGGCCCAAGCCGACCCGTTGCGCTGAGTGCGGTTCTGAGCATGGACTCAGGGAGTGTTCGGCCTTTAAAGATCGGCCGGTCTCTTCGCGACGGGCAAGGGTGCGCGCTCTCGGGTTGTGCTTCAACTGCCTCGGTCCGTCGCACCAGGCGGCCGCTTGCCCGTCTAAGGGTCGATGTCGGGAGTGCGGAGAGCCGCACCATTCACTTCTGCACTCCGCCCAGCAGTCTCCGGCCCCGGCGTCGGGGGAAGCGCCGGTCACGGCGCATGCTGCGACGCGGATGCCTGCGCAGCGAGTGCTTTTGGCCACGGCCAGGGTTTGTCTGATGGCGTCCGATGGCCGATCCGCTGTGGTTCGAGCGCTCATTGACCAGGGCTCTGAGGTGAGCCTGGTGTCCGAGGCGCTTGCGCAGCGGCTGCGCGCGTCTCGTAGATCGGTGGATGTTGGGCTGTCGGGCGTCTCAGAGGGACCCCCTCAGCGGGTGCGGGCCAGCACGTCATTGCGGCTCAGAGCAACTGCTGGCCTCCCGTTCTCCACCACGGTGGAGGCCCTCATTCTACCGAGGCTTACGGCGTACCACCCCCCGCAGAGGGCTCGGCTGACGGGGAAGTGGTCGCATTTGAGGAACCTCCGGTTGGCGGATGATCACGATGATGACGAGCGCATCGAGGCGATACTTGGAGCGGAGGTATTCGCCGAGATCGTGTTGACGGGGCTTCGCCGGGGCCCACGGGGAGCTCCCGTCGCGCAGCGTACCCGCTTGGGGTGGGTGCTGTTCGGGGCTCTCCCGTCTACCGCCGCAGCGGGCGGCTCTCATTGTCATGTGGTGCAGTGTGCGTCGGACAACATGGCGGATCTCTTGCGGCGCTTCTGGGAGGTGGAGGAGATTCCGGTTGCTTCCCCGCTCTCTGAAGAGGAGCGGGCTTGTGAAGAGTTTTTCGCGGCGTCCTTTCGGCGTCATGCGGACGGCCGCTATCAGGTGCGGTTGCCTTTCAGGAGCCCTCCGACTGCGCTGTCTCTCGGCGACACTCGGCGGATTGCCACTGCCTCGTTGCATCGCTTGGAGCGGCGACTGCTTCGGCAGCCTTCCTTGGGCGGGGCCTATCGCGACTTTCTTGATGACTATGAACGACAGGGGCATATGATCCGCCTGCCGCTCAATGGCGAGACTCCGCGGCCCTCTTACTTTATTCCACATCACCCGGTGATTAAACAAGCCCCCGAGCTTAAGGTAAGAGTGGTGTTCAACGCCTCGCAGGCGTCCACCAATGGCCGGTCGTTGAACGACTTGGTGCACGTGGGGCCGCGCTTACAGCGAGAACTGGGCGAGATTCTACTCGCCTGGCGCATGCATCGAGTGGCCTTCTCTGCAGACATCGAGCAAATGTTTCGTCAAGTGCGGGTGGCTCCGGAGGATCAACACCTCCAACAGATTCTCTGGCGAGACAGCCAGACGCAGGCAATATCGGTGTACCGGTTGACCACGGTCACCTATGGCATGGCGTGCGCTCCTTATCTGGCCATCCGCACGCTGCACCAGCTGGCGCTGGATGAGCGGGAACGTTATCCCCGGGCAGCAGACTTACTTCGTCGACAAACCTACGTCGACGATATTCTTGCGGGGGCAGATGACCTTGGGGAGGCACGCAGTCGACAGCGTGAGCTGAGCAGCTTGCTCATGGCGGGCGGGTTCCGACTCAGGAAGTGGGCGGCCTCACATCCGGAACTCTTGTCCGGTATCCCGGAGGGGGACCGCGAGCCTTTGGTGCCTCTGCCGGACCCTGGGGCCGTGGGTGCATCTGTGCTGGGGGTCGGTTGGATTCCAGTCGAGGATGCATTCTGCTTTTCGGTCAACCCCGGGGCTCAATCAGCCATCTCGAAGCGTGGCATCTTGTCAGTCGTCGCGCGATTATACGACCCCCTGGGCTGGTTGGGGCCTATGGTAGTACTGGCGAAGATCCTCCTTCAGGACTTGTGGTTGGCCGGGCTCGGTTGGGACGAGGCTCTCCCTTCTCCGCTCTCGCGACGTTGGGACGCCTTTAGCACCGGGCTCGCGGAGGTTTCCGCGATCCGAGTTCCTCGCTGGACCGGATGGTCGCCTGAAGTGGAGATCCAGCTTCACGGCTTCTCGGACGCCTCGGAGCGGGCGTACGCCGCCGTCATCTACTTACGGGCTCGACGGTCTGATGGGACCACCCGTATCGCTCTATTGGCGTCCAAGACCAGGGTCGCCCCACTAAAGCGGGTAACGTTGCCCCGCCTGGAGCTGTGCGGTGCGCAGCTGCTCTCGCGCCTCATGAAGGCCATTGTGGAGGCGCTCGGTTGTGCCGAGGCCTCCCTGGTTTGTTGGACCGACTCCTCTGTCACGCTCCATTGGATAACAGGGCATCCATCTCGATGGACCACCTTTGTCGCCAATCGCGTCTCGTACATTCACGAGAGCCTTCCGCGGGCCTCGTGGCGGCATGTCCCGTCCGGCGACAATCCCGCGGATTGCGCCTCCCGGGGTTTGTTGGCCGGCGGGCTACGAGAACACGCCCTTTGGTGGCGTGGCCCCTCCTGGCTTGTCGAGGACCCGGCGGGCTGGCCGGGTCTAACTTGCGTCGCGAGCGACCGAGGCACTTGCGAGGAACGGCGCATGGTTCACGTAGTGGCCGTGAACCCGGAGGACTGGTCCGGTGTCCTCCGAGCATGCTCCTTCCGCAAGGCCATCCGCGTGATGGCCTATGTACGACGATTCCTGCGAGTCCCACGGATCAGTGGACCCTTAACGGCGGACGAGCTGAGTGAAGCTCGACTGCGCCTGCTGCGGGTTACGCAGCACCGCTTCTTCGCGGAGGAATTGGGCCGTCTGAAGCGGGGGGGAGCATTGATGGTGAGATCGGCGTTGCGGCCACTCAACCCCATGATGGACGAGCGGGACCTCTTGCGGGTGGGGGGCCGCCTGCAATTCTCAGCGTTACCGATCGATGCACGGCAGCCAGTCCTGCTACCGCGACGCTCTCGGCTCGCGACTCTCGTTGTGCGAGATGCGCACGAACGCACGCTGCACGGGGGAGTGCAGCTTACGTTGCTCACCGTGAGGCGCGAATTCTGGATTCCGGCTGGGCGCTCTTTCGTGCGCCAGGTGATCCGGGGCTGTGTGCGCTGCACACGTCATAAGGGCACCCCGATCACCCCGTTCATGGCTCCGCTGCCTCGCGATCGGGTGTTGCCTCATCCACCGTTTTCTGCCACCGGGGTGGATTATGCTGGACCGGTCGCGGTGCGTCCGTCTCGAGGACGCGGACGTACCACCTCCAAGGGATATATTGCTGTCTTCGTCTGCTTCAGCACGCGCGCTGTCCACTTGGAGGTGGTCAGTGACTATTCGGCCCCGACCTTCTTAGCGGCTTTTCATCGTTTCGCGGCCCGGCGGGGCCTGCCGGTTACCGTGTACAGCGATAGGGGGACCACATTCGTGGGTGCGGACCGCGAGCTGCGAGGACAATTTGAGGCGGTCATGGCGTTGGGGGGACCAGTCGCGGCCTCCTTGAGTAACCAGGGCATCACCTGGAAGTTCATGCCTCCTTCAGCTCCGCATTTCGGCGGACTGTGGGAGGCAGGAGTGCGGTCCGTCAAACACCACTTGCGACGGGTAATAGGAGAGCAGGCACTGACCTATGAGGAGTTCGCCACTCTTCTAGCTCGCATTGAGGCCTGTCTCAACTCCAGGCCATTGTGTCCGTTGACGGACGACCCACAGGACTTGGAGGCCCTGACACCTGGGCACTTCCTGATTGGGCGCCCGCTGTTGTGTCCGCCTGAGCGATCCCTCGGGGACGTTCAGGTCGCGAGGATGAGTCGCTGGCAGCTGCTCCAGCATATGACGGAGCATCTTTGGGAGCGATGGTCTAGAGAATATCTAGCCCAGCTCCAGGTCCGAGGCAAGTGGCTCATCGCTTCTCGTCCGTTAGACATCGGCGACCTCGTGCTCTTGGCGGACAGCCGATTTCCTCCTACCCGGTGGCCTCTCGGCCGCATCACCGGCTTGCTGCCTGGCCCGGATGGGCACGTCCGCGTGGCGCAGGTGCGCACAGCGGACTCGACCCTGACCCGGCCACTGGTCAAGCTGGTGAGGCTCCCTGTGGATCCGAAAGGGGCTCATCCCAATCAACCTTCAACATGAAGGGGATCAACAGGCCCTCACGGCCGCCAGGCCGCGAGTGGGGCCTTCCTGGTGGGGGTTTGTCCACCACTGACTTCCGTCGCCGCGACGGAGGCGGGCGGTATGTTCCGTACAGCATCACGTGCTGTACGGATAGTCGGTGCGAGTCAACGCTGCAGGGCGGGCGGCCTGGTGCCCGGGGCGTTCTCGCTGGCAGCGGGGGACTCGGGTTCTCGCGAGCGAGCGCGCGGGACCCCCACTAGGTCCAACCGCGGCCGCTACACGGCGCGGCTCGCGATTCCGCTGCCCGCGGGCAAGATTCGACCGCCCGGATATATAACCAGGCGCGCGATGCCTGGGCCTGGCCTTGTCTTGTCTTCTGCCTGGCCAGTTTAGGTAGCAAGTAGTGCTACGCGTTAGTACATCGTGTACTGGTGATTACCGACGCGCTTCCTAGGGCGATCGGTATTTCGTTCAGATTCGAACCACTGCTCTATAGACTCTGCTGAGTTGAAGGTGGCGCCGATACACCCTGCTGGGTTGAGGCAAATGGTTCGAATCTCGTTTTGTGATCTCGGACTCACGGCGTTGCCGTGATCTTAGGAGCGACTCGACCGTCTCCTCGGAGCTTCGAGCTCTCTTATTGCCCAAGTGTCCGTAGGGGGCCTTGGCGGTTTTGGAGCGGCTCGGTCGCAGTCCTAGAGCGTTCGCGCTCCTTCGTCCAAGTGTCCATTGGGAACTTGGCTTTCTCGCAGGAGCGACGTGGTCGTCCTGCGAGCCGGAGCTCTCGGAGCTCCGTTTCCACGCGTCCTCGGGACCGTGGCTGGCTATTGGCCAGTACGCCCGGAAGGGCAGGCCATCCGAAACGACGGAGGTCGTTTCGTTGCACGTCCTTGGCGTGCTTCGGGTGCCGCGCACCGTTGACGTCACGGACGTGTGTCCTGCGGGACTTGCGTAGGCGACGTTGTTTCGCTTGTATATAGCTACGTTTAGGTTCTTCGGCGTCGTTCTTCTGCGTTATTCTCTTCTGCGTTACTACTGCGTTTATTGCGTCCATTGCGTTTACACTGCGTGTCACTTTACGTCGGCACGTGCGCGTGCTTCTTCTCTCATGTTCTCGCCGCCGTCCCTGGGCATGGCCCAGTCGGCGCGCGACGTTGCCTGATCAGCAGGGTCTGTGGTCGCCTTGCGAGGCCCCGGCCTTTGATCAGGACGACCGGACGGTCACCGAGCGGACTCGAGCGAGCCTAGACGCAGGCGGACGTCGCTCTGCGATCCGTACTTCCAGCCAGCTCTCCGGAGCTATCATATGTTCGGGCTAGTTCCGAACAGTCCCCCTTCGAGACAACTTTCATTAACCACTTTTTTTTATCCAATACATAGTTCTCGAGATATTTCAATGTCTTCAGATAAATCGTGCACCTTGTATTATGACACCGATTCCTGTATATATGTGAGCACCGGTGACCCCAATGAGTACAAACCGCGTACGGGCAATTTTTTGGATGATATGACGAATGAGCTTGAGAACCATGGTCAAGGTAGTTACATAGAGACCTTTATATCCGGAGGCCCAAAATTTTACTCCTACGTTGTACGTACCCCGCAAGGTAGAACTCACGAAGTTTGTAAAGTAAAGGGGATAACCCTAAACTTCGAAAATTCGAGATATATTAACTTTAGCAGTATAAAAAATTTATTAATAGCCGGAAAAATAACCGAAAACGAGAAAGATGATGAGAGGGAGGAGGGTTCGCGGAAAACATCGATAAATTTACGTTTTAGAGCGATTCGGCGTACCGCATTTCACGACGTCGTAACAAGAGACGAGAGCGAATCATGCAAGCCTGTGCTACTAAAACGTAAATTCGACAACAACACAGAACACTCTCTGCCATATGGCTACGTGGCGTCGTAAGAGAGTAGTCGGTTAATCCTTCTCCTCTTTCGAATCTGAACATTTATTTCTAGAGAATAAGAAAATGTATAAATGTAAATATAGTGTTAAGTATTCTGTGTAAAAATATACTGTTTTCTTTCAATAATGACTTATCTGTATATTGCGTACACAGGGATATGAGCTAGTGGTCCCGTCATGGAAGACTCCTCGGCGCGGGGTTATAAGTCCATCACCGTTTCTTCTTTTCTTCAGTATTTATGTAGCTTCACTAGGTAACAGAATCAATCATTTAGCAAAATGCACGTTCGCTGGAAACATCCTTGGACATCTATCGTTTGCGGTCCTACGGGCTGTGGGAAAACGGTTTTCGTAAAGACTTTTCTTCGTTATTTACCTGCAATGGCGGATACCCGTTTCGACAGGATCCTATTCTATTATGCCGAGTGGCAAGAGGCTTACCGTCAATTACAGCAAGAAGTGACGAAATCAGGCCGTTGTATGATAGAATTTCGAGAAGGCTTACCGCGCGCGGATGATTATTCAAACGACCCTCTTGTCGCGAAATTGGTGATAATAGACGATCTCATGAGGAAACCGTCATCGTGCAAAGTAATTGTCGATCTGTTCACAAAGGGGAGTCATCACAAAAACCTTAGTGTTATACTCATTTCGCAAAATCTATTTCATCAAGGACGAGGGCAACGAGATATTTCTCTCAATACGAATTACATCGTGGTGTTCAAAAACCCCCGTGATCGTGCTCAGATACGCCACTTGGCCAGGCAGGTATATCCGGAAGATTCAAAGTTTTTGGAAGAAGCTTACTATGACGCTACATCGTTTCCACATGGATATCTGTTGCTCGATCTGAAACAATCTACTCCGGATGAATATCGGTTTCGCACATGTATCCTCCCCACCGATACCACGCACTATGTTTACGTTCAACGAGGATCCACCAGAAGTTACGTATAAAACCCGTGCATATGCTTATTCTGTGACAGTCTTGTCGTCGCAATGACAATGGGTGGTGGTAACAGAACGGATGCGAAAAAGAACGATGAAACAGTAAGTCTGGCAAAACGATTCATCGGTGCGAAAAACATCTCTCTCCTGAAGGCGTTGTGCTACTTGACGGAGAAATAACACGCTGCCTTTCTGCGAGAAGCGGACCGTGATTTCATTAGATGTATTTGCAAGTGCGCCTTCAACACACTCAAAGGTAACGTACCGCTCGGCAGTAGGGAAAAAAATCGTCTATCACGTTACAAAGCAACGCTACATATCGCTAATAACCGTGCCGATTGAAGAGGTAAACGGAAAGTGACAGTACAGCGTGGAGGATTTCTACCTTATCTGATTGGCCCTATACTCGGTGCTATATTATCCAAAATTATTGATAATTAAGACTGTTCGCGCTTGAACCATGGAAAGAGCCAAGAAGATGGTACTGATTTCTACGGATAATCTTAAGAGATTACAGCAGCAGACTCATACATCGCCGACCTCGCTGTCGTCGTCGTCGTTGGCGTCTTCCTCGACTACGATTCCCTCTGTTTTGACAGATAATCCCACAACTGGGTTGAACATAGATCGATAGAGAATGAAAATATGGTGCGTACTCCGGGTTCCGTCTTGTCACGTCTCGACGCAGAGATGCATAGAATTCTCAACTCTCTGGTCCTCGGAGGAGCGCAGAAAAAATGGAGATTGTATAGAGAGGTGCTTCAGCGATATCTGTACTTTTTTCGAGAGCGGGAAAAACGTTGATTACGCGAAAAAAAGAAGAGAAACCCGATGTTGGTGGTGCGGTCGACGATGATGAAAACACTGGGGAAGGGGAAAATAGTCCCTCGTGAAGATGACGAATACGCTGACGGAAACGCGGTAGAAGAAAACACAGGTATAGATGCAAATGAAGATATTCCCAATATAGAGACCGGAGTACGTCGAACGTTGAACGTTTCTCAACACGTACGAGCCGATATACGTAGTCGTCACCACCGCACCAACGAACAGAAAAGTATCGGAAGAATACTGAATAAAGTGCCAAAGAGTTACCGAGCTAAAGCGCGCAAGCTGTTGGCACATTTGTGTGATGCGGCGGTACCCGGTCGATTAAGCTAGGACAGACAAGGAGTCGTAACAATAGATGATAGAATTCTGAGAGGATCGAATATCATCGACCTCTTAAACGACGCGGCTCGTGAACGAAAAACCACCAGAGCAGTAGCGAGAGTACAGTTTGCACGCCTTTTGCGTGAAGTGGGTACTCCTCCGGAATTTGTAGGAAATCGAGAATTACTGGAAGAAGTCATGAACGAAAGTGATCTTTCCGCGAGATTGAGAGAAACTCTTCCGAGAGGTAGCAGCACACCGCTCCCATCACCTAACGAGCAGCTTTGGTCTAAACGTAAGATTGCCCAGACGTCGCTTGAGGAAAAAGTTCACGAGGATGGACGGTCTCTGTTTGTAACAACCAATGAGAATAGAATAACACACGAATGAGCGGAGACACTTCTAAACCAACGAGTAAAAGACGCGTGATAGATTGGAACCCGTTAGAATTGAGTATAGCTTCTTCGCCGACTAACAGCTATGCACATTGGCTTCCACCAACGAAAGGACGAACATGCAAACGTACTATCGGAGACACGTCTCTCGCTGAAGAACGCGACACAGAGCGCGTAATGCGATACGCCTCGGCGTAGAGCATCTCGTTACCAGAGAATTTCGGCTGTAACATTTATAACTTCCGATCAACACAGGCGTAAAACACGAGTGAACGACAACGCTCCTAAATCAGCGGGTAAAAAACGTTTGATCAATTGGAACACACTGGAATGACTGACCTCGCAAAATTCTACTACGATCCTGCACACTATGCGGGATACTCACCAATAAAAAATCTTTCGCGAGCAGCAGGACCTGGCTCCATGCGTGAAGAGATTATTCGTTGGCTTCAGGCACAGGATGCATACACACTTCATCGACCGGCACGATATAAATTCCCGCGCTTGCATTACAACGTCACGAATATCGACGATCTGTGGGAGGCTGATTTGGTTGAACTCGCTAATCTCCGAAATTACAATGAGGGCTATTGTTACTTGTTGACAAT